ACGTCAATCAGATCTATTCAGATTAAATTGTATTCAGATTTTATATAATTTTCATGTTACACTGAATTTATATCTCTATTTACAACACTGAACTTACATCTGTGTTTCAAAGGATGATGACAGAGTACACCAAACCAGGTTGGAGTCTTTTCTTGTTTAACTAGAGGCACTGGAGGGGGCAGTCTGGTCTGCACCCTCTAGCAGTCCTGGAGCCCTAGTGCGGGGTAGGGGGGTGGGGGGAAGATGTCTGACTGCCACAGAGGCGAGGCGGGAGAGGTTCCTGCCACCGCCGCTGCACTCACTGGGCTTCTGGCTGAGCGGCATTCCCCTTGTGGGAGTGCACTGACCACCAGGGGACAGCTCCTGTGTTGAGCGTCTGTCCCCTGGTGGTCAGTGCGTGTCATAGCAACTGGTTGTTCCGGTGTTTGGTCAATTTGCATATTAGGGTTTTATTATATAGGATATTAAAATAAAAGTAGTTATATTATGCCCTGACTGGTTTGGCTCAGTGGATAGAGCGTCGGCCTGCGGACTGAAGGGTCCCAGGTTTGATTCCAGTCAAGGGCATGTACCTTGGTTGCAGGCACATCCTCAGTAGGAGATGTGCAGGAGGCAGCTGATCGATGTTTCTCTCTCATCGATGTTTCTAACTCTCTATCTCTCTCTCCCTTCCTCTCTGTAAAAAATCAATAAAATATATTTTAAAAAAAGTAGTTATATTATCCAAAGAGAAAAGTCAAGACAGCTAATACAAAGTTATAGAAGAAAGGGAAAATGATTAGGGATAATTGATAGAAAGGTGAGATTGCAGACCAAGAGACAAAAAATGGACCCAGGAAAGCATTTATAAGGAAAATATATTTTAAAATTTAGAGGATGATAGGCATTTCAGAAATATAGAACTTGAAAGATTTGAAAACAGCAATGAATCAAATTCAAGTGAATACTGAGATTTTTAAAAATTTAAATAGGTTGGCTAAGCACCAAGCAACAACAACGATAATAATAGGGAAATATACTCAAAATTTTGTGTAAAAATTGCCTGATTCTGCTACCACCTACCCCTTCTCCTTCACTTGCAAATAAATGACTAAAATATTATCTTTCCCTTAGGATGTTTGGAAAGCTAATAGGACATCAGCTTTATCTCAGTCTTACCCAATCTTTTGTGCCAGGCTGGTCAGAGTTAATGCCTTGAGTTTCAAGTTGGGTGAGAGTGCCCACCTCCCAAGGCTGCGCACACCCCTGTCCCCCATCACAACTACCTTTTGGGTGAAATCTTAGACCCAGCAAAGGAGGAGGATGAATTGTCCCCTGGGAGGAAGGAGGATGGAGTCCATTCCTTCTGAGAGGGTTAGGTCATACCTAGAAGAATTTATTTTTTAAAAAAACTGAAAACTGCACTCTCACACTCAAATTTGTTCCTAACCCACAAACAACCTAGGCCAGTGGTCGGCAAACTGCGGCTCTTTGGCCTCTTGAGTGTGGCTCTTCCTAAGCCTTAGGAGTACCCTAATTAAGTTAATAACAATGTACCTACCTATATAGTTTAAGTTTAAAAAATTTGGCTCTCAAAAGAAATCTCAATCGTTGTACTGTTGATATTTGGCTCTGTTGACTAATGAGTTTGCCGACCACTGACCTAGGCCATCTTCCACAAACAGCATTTCTACTCATTCATTCACTGGTTCTGATTGGAAAAGGGGCATTTGTTTGAGACCTCTTCCTTTCTCCTAGCTTCACTCCAATTCATTATGAAATCTGTTCCTTCTGCTACCATAATATACCTCAAATCTATCCACTTTGCTCCACCTCCACTGCCATCACTTAGATACCACTGGGCAATCTAACATTTATGCAAATCAGAAAAAGGACTCCTTCCCCTGGGCACATGCTGGGGCTTGACTTCAGCCTCATCTGCCATCTTTGTGCAGAGCATGATCTCCAGGATCTTGCATGGTGGTCCTGGACCCCCACCCAAGCCATGGTGCACTCACTGTTGTAATCACCTCCTGCCTGTTCTGTCCACATCCACTCTTGTCCCCTTCCAATCCATTCTCCACACCACAGTGGTGGGACTACTCTTACATAACCAGTTTGATCACGTCACTCCCTACTTGGTCCTTCAATAGATTTCTATTGCTATTGGGATAAAATCCCAACCCCCTGAACATGACCCTACAAGATTCTATATGATCTGCTTCCTAGTTCCCTCTTTGCCCTCACTGGCACCATTTCCTCCTGATACCTTTGAGCTACACTGCCTTGTTCTGGGTTCTGAAACTTGCCGAGCTTCCCCCCTAACCCAAGAGACTGCCTGCAGAGTTCTTCCTTGACTTAGTTTGGCTATTTTCTCCTCTTCCTTCAGGGCTCAGTTCAAATGTTCCTTTTTTTAGGGAAGCCATTCCTGAATCCAAAAGTGGATTTCCTCATAGCACTCTTTTCTCTTCTTAAATCATACTTAACACATTTATAATTATATATGCACTCACTAGTGATTTACTTATTTAATGTCATTTCCCCTACTATATAAACTCAACAAGGATGAGAATCATGCCTGACTTAGCCCAATGTCTTTCATTCATCCAAGTTTCTTTTTTTTAAATGTAGTTTTATTGATCATAGAGGAAGGGAGAAGGAGAGAGAGAAACATCAATGATGAGAATCATTGATCGGGTGCCTCCTGCACACCCCACACTGGGGATCAAGCCTGCAACCCGGGCATGTGCCCTGACAGGGAATGGAACCATGACCTCCCGGTTCATAGGTCAATGCTCAACCACTGAGCCATGCCAGCTGGGTGATCCAAGTTCCCATTCAAATTTATATCAAAGACCTTCTCTATGCCAGTGACTATACTAGATGCTAGAAGTGAATAGACAAATGATCTCCTTGGTGTTATGAGGGAAACACATAACCAACCAATAAACAAGTACTCAGACAAGATGATTAGATTGTGATGTGTGCTATGCAGTAGACTCTGAGCTTTTTCAGTTCAGAAATCTCTGTATTCATTAACAAATAGCGTGCATTGTTTAAGATAAAGCCAGCTGCTAAATATAACACGAGTTTACTTCATTGTCCAGAAGAAATCTTGTTGGGTAGATGGCTCTCCTCTAAGTGGTAGGACCCAGGCTCCTTCTAACTTGGAGCTTTGCCATCTTCAGTATGTGGCCACAGAAGGGGAAAGAGCATGGGAAATTGCTTGTGGATTTCTTTTTCCCATGGGCTCAGTAGGGATGGCCATGCTCTATACCTGACTGCAAGGGAGACAAAGGAACACAATGTATCTTTGCACTGCGGAAGAGCAAATAGATTTGATGATCAGCTAGCACCTTCAATAGTACCTGGTACAACACTCGCATGAAGAAACAAAGGTAAATTAGAAACGGAGCTTGCTCTCAATAATTTTATTATCTGAGTGTGTCCACAGAAATCATTATGGTTGCTATAGTAAACTCTAACTTCTGGTAACCTAAAAATAGTCTCTAGAATGAACTTAATGAATTTGTCTCTCAGGACAACGAAGTTTAAAAAAATCTAATTGTTTACTTTAATTGCAGGGTCAGCTGGAAAGTTTCCATTTTTTATTTCCCACGGGGTTTTTTTTAGGTGTCTTTTTCCCTTGTTTCAAATCTTGCCGCTTCACAGCCTCCCCATTCGTGGGTTGGAATGGCTACTTTAGGACAAGTCCACGGTCAGGGCTATGGAATGGATGGGAACAGTGAGGGGCCTTCCCTAACAACCTGGAAACGAGTGTGGATAGAGCCACACAGTGACTTGGAACTTAGAGCCGTGCACCTAGATGACCAATTCCTTGCATCTATTTTGTGGTAGTCTTTATCATTTTTTCTGCTCTGGATGAAACAGAAATTCGAATTACTCCTTGGTGCCAAGAGCAGACACACGGTCATCTGTGTGCCTGGGGCAGTCTGTCGGCACGGAAAGCTTTTCCATCCTGAAACTGGTTTTCAGAGCCTGGACGGATTGGTGGTGTGGAGGGCACTCCGACACCCGCCTGTTCGCTTCAGACGCGGTTCGGAAGGGATCTGAAACCTACAGTGCACCGACGCCTTCCGCAGAGACGAAAAGCGCAGCACCCCCGAATCTCTGCCAAACTGGGCTCAGTTTGCTCTTTCCCAGAGAGAATCCTTCCTGCCAGAGCCGGGGGCGCAGGTCTGGATTCGCAGCTAGTTAGTTCCGTGCGCCCGGGACGCAAAGCAGCGAGCGAGCTGCAGCTGCAGGTGCAGACGGCGCGGAGGAGCCTGGGCCGCGCGGGTGTGTCCCGGACCCGACCCGACCGACCCGGGAGCGGAAGGGCTGCGCTCCCGCCTAGGGGGTCCCCGGCCGGACGGAGAAGGGGGCGCAGCAGAGTCGGGAGCCTCGTTCCCGGGCGACAGGAGGGACCCAGGGCGGCCGCCGCCCCCCTGCCGGCCCAGCGCGCCCAGCTCGCCGCCGCAGGACGTCCGCCACGCGGCACACGCCACGCCCCGCGCCGCGCCGCCTGCGGAGAACGCGGGAGGCCCCGCCGGGCCGCCGTAGCGCTGCGGCTCCGCGCCGCCTCCGCCCCCTGCCTCCCGGCGCCGGGCGCTCTGGGCGGCAGCGCCAGCGCCAGCCACGGCCGCGCTTCCTCCTCTGCAGCCGTTCGGACGCTGCGTGACGCGTCGTTTCCTCCCAACATGGCGGCCGGGGCAGGCCGGCGGTGATGGAGGCCGGTGCACGGCCGCGGCGGGTGCGCGTCCTCTCGGGAGCCAGGGCAGCCCTGCTCGCGCCGGGCCTCTGAGCCGGCTCGCTCCTCGGCCCCCCGCCGTCGCCGCCCGGGCTGGGCTCCCTCGCCGCCGCCTCCCAGGCCCGAGGGGCGAGTGACGGGGGTGGTGGTGGCCGGGAAGCGACCCCGGGACCCGGAGGAGCGGAGGTCCCGCCGGGGCGGCCTCGCAGGGTCGGCGGCGAAGCCCTGCGCGCCCCGGGCCCGCACCGCGGCCGGGCCGCCCGCCCCTTCCTGCCCCCGCCGCTGCCCTCCACGCCTCCGCGCCCCCACCTCCACCCCTTTCTCTCGTCTCTTCCTCCCCCTGCTCCTGCGTCCAGCCGCCGGGAGGGAGCCCCGGGCCGCGCCGCCGCCGTCCCCGCGCCCATGTATGAGGGCAAGAAGACCAAGAACATGTTCCTGACGCGGGCGCTGGAGAAGATCCTGGCCGACAAGGAAGTGAAGAAGGCGCATCACTCCCAGCTGCGCAAGGCGTGCGAGGTGGCGCTCGGTGAGCGGGGAGGAGGCCGGGCGGCGCGAGGGGGTCCGGGCGCCCCGGGGAGCTGCCACCCGCCCGCCCGGAGCTGGGAGTTGACAGTAACTCGGCTGCCTGTGCGGCCGGGGCGGGGGTGCGGGGTGGGGGGTGAAGGGCCGCCGCGGGGCTCGGGGATCGGCGGGGCTCGGCACCCCCGGCGGCCGAGGGGGAGCTTTTGCGGGGGGTCGTGCGGGGCGGCCGGGGTGCCCCCTTTGTGGTGCAGCGGAGGAGGAGCTGCGGCTCCTGAGCTGGGCGTTCGTCCGGGTGGAGCCGGTGGGTCGGGACTGGGCGTGGGAAGGGCTCGGGCTCCGTCTCCCTCGTGCGTGTCAATAACTTTGTCGTGTGACCGGGCGCTGGGGGGAGACGGGCCGGAGTGGTTCCCTCGGTGACAGTCCCGAGCCGGGGCTTGCAACAGCCTCCGCCACGGGGAAAAGAGGGGGATGTTGGAGCCGCCTGGGCTGACCTGGAAGAATAAGACCAGAGGTGAAGGAGGGGGGAGGCCATGAAAAAGAGGGGGTGGGGGGAGGACCTTTAGGTCAGCGGGCTTTCCCGACAAGGAAGGGGAGGTTTGAAATGGGGAAGATGAGAAAGACAATGACAGCCCACCAGCCGCATGTCCGGACCCCGCAGCTGCTCCCAGGCCTGATGTGTATGTAGTTCAGGCGGACATCCTCACAGTCCCGACAGCCAGGGCAGGCCGAGGAGGAATGGTTCCAGGGGAGACGCTGCGATGGATCTGTTGCATCCATCAAAGACGAAATCGTTGGAGGACAGGCGGGGACACTTAACACAAAGATGAATTCCTAATGCTTACGCTTTATTTTATAGCACTGGAAATAGACTAGATCAAAATGACGAGATTAAGCTTGTTACAGGGGCTTATTTTTTTTTTTTTTTTTAAAAAGCCTTCTTGAAGGGGGAAAAGTGCAGAATAACTTAAATGCATGCTAAGTTAAAGGGTGAAGACAGCCTTTTATTTATTGAATAAATAGAAGATGACTTTTTAACTTCCCTAGTAAGCCACACTGGGTCTTTTGCCCCCTTCCTCTTTGGATCTTTTAAAGTGGTGCGATGGGAAACATCAAAGAAATGCCGTTTGAAAATTTTGAATCTGCAGTATAGTGAACTTACCTTTAGTTTTTCAGAACTTCCTTGGATTAGAAGTTCGCCTTCTGTTGTTCTTGCAGCTAAGGAAAAGCTGAGGTGTATGAGATGACATTGTGCAGTGGTAAAAGTTGAATTTATATCTGGGTCTTGAATAATTACTATATTGGGATGTGGTGAGGGGAGGAGAGGTCTTTAGAATTTTTAAAAGGATTGTTATGTTCAGGTTTGTGAAAAACTTGCAGGATAAAGCATTTGAGATTCAAATTAAAGTGTGTGTGTTTTGAGACCAGATTTTCCATATTAGAATATATATTTTAATAACATTAAATTGTAAGTATTAGACTGAAGAAACAGAATTCGGTGTGTATTTGTATATGTATATGTATATATTCATTTATCTATTTCTTTATTTTTTGTCCCATCCTCCAAAAATGCTAACATAAGTAAGGGTGTTTTAATGGAGAGCTCACTAGCAGTAGAATCTGGGACCCTGGGTTTATCCCAGTGATGTTGCGTTTAGAATAGTCAAATCTCTGGGCCTTAACTTGCTTTTCTGTAAAATTAGAGTAGATATTGAACTTGTTGGTCATAATATTACATTCCCTCTAGCGCACCGTGAATGTGGGTGCACTATTCTTCTAACTTGTGCAGTGAGTTTTCCTGCTGCTCTTGGACATCTCTAGGAGGCTCGTGGTTTGGTCCCTTCCATTTCTAGACATAGGAACTACTTGGTAGTAAGTGTGCTAGCTTTACCAGGATTGTCTATTCCAGATTTTGCCAGTTTTTACTTTTTTATCCTTCCATACAGTTGGCAGAAGCTTATTATGAGAACTCTGAGTACCCAGGCAGGGGCTAGGCACCAGAGTACCTTCTTTACTTGAGATGTGTAAGGCTTTTTCTCACATTTCATAACAGTTACATTTAGCCTCCTACAAAACTCATGGAGCAACCTCACAATACTTAATCCCTGGTGAACTTGGTTTCTTCCCTTCTAGTCATCCTTATCACTGAAACATAAATTGATAGGGATAACCCATTTCATCTTTGCAAAAAGTAGACTGTTTTGCAATAAGGTAACCCGAAATATACTTTGTCCCTGGAACTTATTATAGACCTCCCGTTTTCTTTTCAGTATTGAGAACTGTACCAGGCTCACTTTGGTCTCTTAATAATCTGTGTGGCCATCAAGCAGAATGGCAAAGTGAACTGGAGTGGCCTGGTTTGGTCATCTCTGATCTCTAGGTTGTAAGTAGGTAGGAGTTGGATGGTCGAAGCACAGAGGTGGGTGTTGTTATATCCCTTTTAAATACACCTGCCTGCATTCATCTCTCCTCCCCTCCCAAATGCTATTGAGCACTAGCATGGAGCTGAAGGAAGATGGCCAGTAAACAAGGAAATACATAGTCTGTCGAACTTTTAATCCTCTTGTTTTTAAAAAACATTTTATTGGCGTGCGATTAGATTTCAGAGCACTGGTATTCAAAATTAACTTTTTAATATAAAGACCAGTTATCAAAGGTTTTCTCTGAATAATACTCAGGAAATTATAGTTCATTGCATATTAAGAAAACTTTTTTTTTTGTTAAAGTATTGCTTTTAGGAAATTTTATCTAGATTATGGGAGGTTTTACTCATTAAAACAAAATCCATTCTCAGATACACTAAGTAAAGGAACTTTTATTTTCACAAAAAGAAAAATGATGAAAGTTTCAAAGGATATGCAAATTATTTAAAAGTTTTATCAAATTTTCTTAAGTTCAGATTTGATTTTAAGGAATAGTTTTTTTTAAAAAAAGGAAAGAATGAAACCTTCACACTTACATTGTTGCAATCTGCAGGCCCAAGAACAGCTCCAGGTTGCCCTCTCTTGGTACCTGCCCACTACATCTCTGTAGTGCTCCCTGAATGAACTCTGCAGAGTGAGGTCTCCTAGGCTGCCCTAGCTTAGCCTGCTCCATTCCTGCTCTCTAGAATCCTGAATTAAAAATAGTCTGGCCATCTGCTGGCAAATGAGACAACAGCTGAGCTATTTTTAGTTTCAAAGAATTTAGGATGTTGGGGGATCTGGCTTGCAGGTAGTATTGTTTGTCTCATGGGGAGGAGGGTACATACGGGTCATATTCCAATTAGGTCTCTAAGTTTTAGGAGTTTCTTTGATGTTAGGGATATGATTAGTTCAACTTTTGCTTCTAACATCATATCTATGAAAAGACTCTTCAGATATTAGGATGAACAAGTTCATGTTTGGAAACTAGCATTGATACAGAATAGGAGTGAAAGGGGTGACCAGAAGAAGGTTTTAGAGACAAGGGAGGCACACTAGGGCAGCAAAAAGGGGTAGATTCCTTGCAGAGATAATGGGAGAATGATAGAGAAAAAGAGGAATTGTTAGGGAAGTAACTTTTTCATCAGAGTGTAAAGTTGTTCTTCATATTATACAGTGACCCTACTGATTTAGTTTTTCTTATATATGAGGATTTACTTCTAATTATAAGTCACCCCCAGAAATGTAAATATAATATTTAGACTAAAAAGTTACAGAAGTTGCTTCCATTTAATCCCACCCTTATTTTAGTTTAATGGGGATATAAAAGGATATATGGAGGAGAAGAAATTACTTAAGTGCTTGTGGTACCAGTTTTATGCTACTTTTGGTAATTTCATTAATTTTTATCACTCTTCACCATTTAAAATGACTTACTCCCAAATAATACCCTGCAGACTGTGTACAATTTAATTACACCTTATATCCATTAGCAGGTCTCCTTTTAAACCTTCCTTGGTATCTAAAGTAAAAGATGTTTTCAGTAAGTCAGGCTGCCAGAATTTTGAGATAGCTAGGAAAGAAGAGTGTTATGAATGAAAGGAAAATTCTGAGTTTGAGTTGAGAAAAATTAGTTTTGATTACAGTGTACACCAGGTGTACCGGTTAATAATGCGGATCCTGTAATCAAGGAAAACAGGATAATTTCAAGAGAAACATCACAAGTGCTTTATGCAAATGTCCATCGCTAGCTACACATTTTCCCCATCTTTCAGGTAATTTGTGGATACCATCCCAATAGAACTTTTCTTGTTTTGAGGCAAACCATTCAGAGACCCAATTTTCCACTTCTTCGTGCGTTTTGAAGTGCTGCTCAGAAAATGCGTGTGCCATTGATTGGGACAAGTGGTAATCTGAAGGAGCAAGGTCTGATGAATACAGCGGGTGCGTTAATACTTCCCAGGCAGGATCTTTTAACATTTCTTTAACTGGTTTTGAAGTGCGTGATGGTGTGTTGTCATGAAGCATATTTACTTTGCCGTGTCTTCTGGCTCATTCTGATTTACTTACGATCAAAGCGTGGTTCGTATACCACGCTTTCCTGATCCCACCAAACGCAGAGCATTGTCTTCTTTCTGAAGTGATTTGGCCTTGCAGTCGATGTTGATGGTTGACCTAGATCAGTGGTCGTCAAACTGCGGCTCGCGAGCCACATGTGGCTCTTTGGCCGCTTGAGTGTGGCTCTTCCACAAAATACCGACTTCTCCGCATGGGCCACGAAGTTTCAATTGCACTGTACATGCAAGCCCACACGAGGTATTTTGTGAAAGAGCCACACTCAAGGGGCCAAAGAGCCGCATGTGGCTCGCGAGCCACAGTTTGCCAACCACTGACCTAGATCAACCCATGATTTTGTGCATTTGGGATTTTCAAAATAAATCCACTTTTCATCGCCAGTCACAATTCGATGCAAAAAAGACTTTTGTGCCGTTGAAGCAACATTTTACTGATGACTTTTCGGTTTTCCATTTGTCTTTCGTTCAGTTGATGTGGCACCCGTTTTCCTTCCTTTTAAATCTTTCCCACAGCTTGTAAACGATTGGAA